ACGCAACCCTGATTCAAACCCGGGCCGCAGCGGTGAGAGTGCTGCGCCTTAACCACTAGCCCACCAGGGATGGCTGGGATTTTTCATCAGTGTTTTTAAAGTTCAGTCTGTATTTGTTTTTTACTTCTTTTTGACCTAAAATGTTGTTTGAAAGCCACAATATTGCTAACCCTTAGACATAGGAACACAGCTCATCCTCTCACACTAAGGTGGCATATTCGAAACATATTAAAGCTCCAAACAATGCTTGAGGTTTTTTGGCGAAGACATTCACTCAATAATTGACTACCATGAACCTGGAGAGTTCTGTGAAGACCTCCCTCTTACATGTCATTAATTCAGGTCAAGGCCCCAAATGCTCCCAAACAATAACAGCCTGCAGTTATAGGCAGCTACAGTACCTTCAGATGTTACTCTACTGAGAACTTTTAGGAACTAGTATTTTTACTAGTATGTTTACATTGCACACTATTTAGCTGACATTGGTTAATTTCCCAAAATAGGGCGCTCAAAATGTTTGGTGTGTCTCCCAGGTGGCTTGTGGCAAACTTTAAATGACACTTTTTATGGATATCTTTAAGAAATGGCTTTCTTCTTGCCACTCTTCCATAAGGGCCAGATTTGTGCAGTATACGACTGATTGTTGTCCTGTGGACAGAGTCTCCCACCTCAGCTGTAGATCTCTGCAGTTAATCCCGAGTGATCATGGGCCTCTTGGCTGCATCTCCTGCGTCTTCTCCTTGTATGAGCTGAAAGTTTAGAGGGACGGTCAGGTCTTGGTAGATTTGCAGTGGTCTGATACTCCTTCCATTTCAATATTATCGCTTGCACAGTGCTCCTTGGGATGTTTAAAGCTTGGGAAATCTTTTTTGTATCCAAATCCGGCTTTAAACTTCTCCACAACAGTATCTCAGATCTGCCTGGTGTGTTCCTTGTTCTTCATGATGCTCTCTGCGCTTTAAATGGACCTCTGAGACTATCACAGTGCAGGTGCATTTATACGGAGACTTGATTACACACAGGTGGATTCTATTTATCATCATTAGTCATTTAGGTCAACATTGGATCATTCAGAGATCCTCACTGAACTTCTGGAGAGAGTTTGCTGCACTCAAAGTAAAGGGGCTGAATAATTTTGCACGCCCAATTTTTCAGTTTTTTATTTGTTAAAAAAGTTTGAAATATCCAATAACTTTCGTTCCACTTCATGATTGTGTCCCACTTGTTGTTGATTGTTCACAAAAAATTACAGTTTTATATCTTTATGTTTGAAGCCTGAAATGTGGCAAAAGGTCGCAAAGTTCAAGGGGGCCGAATACTTTCGCAAGGCACTGTATATTGTATGTTCTAATAAGTAAATAGCTGACTACTTCATCTAAAGTAATTTCTGGTGGAACTGTCTGAAAATTATGTCAGTAATTTAATTATCAATCATCACTGATTTTTTTTTTAACCCTGTAAAGTCCAACATATCAATAAATAGTCAGGACATTCTAATTTTTTGGAAATGAGATGTTTATTAAACCTTTTAACAAAATCCAAAATATAATTCATGATTCAAAATTCAAGATTCATGATTTTTATTTGCCATATATGCATAGACAGACAGTCCAGGCATATAGGAATAGAAGTGCCATATTATTTAGATTATTTCTATTTCTTTTGTATCACATTTGATACATGGGGCATTTTTGGCGATTTTTTTTTTTGCTCACAAACCTCACATATCAAATATGATAAAAATGGTTTTATAGGGTAAGAAATTAACCACATTTAAACTACTTGTATTATAGTTTATGTGTTAACCATCATATACAGCTTTAAACACCATTACATGCAAGGTCCAAATCTATTCTAAAACCATAAGAATAATAATAATAGGACGAATGAAGCTGACTCAATAAAGAGAATTTAAATTTTTTAGAAATTTTATATAGATTTTAAGAGTTACAGCATAGTAGCAAGCAAAAAGGCATAATTAAAATCATCAGCTGTCATTAGTTGATTGGCTTACAACTAAATAAATCAACAACTACTATTTCTAAACATCAATCTAAGCTATATACTCATTAAAATCATTATAGTTCAGCTCTCAATGACTGAATAAAAGTCTCCCTGATTACCAGTCCTCAGTGGGTTTGAGATGGTGGTTGTTGAATTTTGAGCAGTCATTAGTCCCTCGTTGATTTCCTTTCACCAGGGACTCAGAATTTTCCTTGCTGAATTTTGGAATTTATTGAACAGTTCGAGCATCCATCATTATGGCTCCAAACAGTCTTCCGGTCTTCTGAAACTCCGAAAAACATCAGAAAACAGACTAACAAAGCGTCTTGCATCGTCTGCTGAATATGTGGAATGTGGAAGCATTTCAACATCAAATCCATAGTGGTGCGAAATGAATCCAATGTTGATTCTGCTCTAGGTAGCGGCTCTGTCTTCTTTCCAAACCCTTCCTCCCCCAAAGGCCAGGGTGGCTTGTAGAAGAGAAGCCACAACTGAGATATCCTTTGGGCTTGCTTCTCTGTAGTGTCTCGGTCTTCTGGAACTCAGAAAAACAACAAAACAAAGTCTCCGGCAGCAATGGGTTCTCATTCCTCCTTTTCCCGTGGTTTTTAAAGGGTTCTTGTCACATAGGCTTAGTCCTTTCCTCCAACCAGATGCCATATTTTTCAGCTATTACCTTTTTTGGTATGCCAAGTCTTATTTTTCAGAACTGTTGCGTATCTTTTACCGTCAGGCTTCAGTACACTGCCTATAACCTGGCCTGATTTCAGATGGAAATGACATTAGGGTCATTGAAGAAAATCACAATTCATTAGTGATGGAATAATAATCCTGGGGTCTTTAGCCTCTCTCATAATGAGCATCACCCTACCTCCTGGGGCAAAGATAATGATGGCTATAGAAGGTTTAGAAGTGTCATTTCCAGCTATAGAAGGTCATGCACAGTGTTGATACACCGCGCATGACAAGCAACATTAATAGCTAACAAGTTTTCTTCCAGCCCTTATGTTTAATGAAAAATACTAAAGATGCCAACATGCCCAAGTAAAGCTCAAGAAAAGTTTCTCTCTCAAAAGAGTCTTCTCTCTCATGCTGATGCTAGGCGTTATGGACGCCTGGACAGAAATCCATTTTGAAGCAATTTATTTTCTGACCCTTGCAAATGAATACCAGTAGATTTAGCTTTGACATGATTTTACATGAATCTGTCCAGCATCTGTTTTATCATGCTCTGTTTTTTTATATATGAGTGTGGGCTGGGATATCAGAAATAGAAGCAGCTGAGTGAATGTAGCCACCTCTCTCTGTGTGTCTCTATCGGTAAGCTCGGTGCCTCTGTTGTGTCAATCACAGAAAAAGATTTCAAGTATACATGAGGATTAGATTTGCAGCAGTTAAGGTTTGATTCCCGTTCCCCCAAGTCCACTGTTGAAGTGTCATTGAGCAAGAAACTAAACCACAAGTAGCCAGAACATTACTCTGCAGGGACAGCGCCATCGTGTGTGTGTGTGAGGTGGCGCCGCACATGGCTACCTTGCTTCTGTTTCAGAGACAAATCCATTGTGTGTGTAAAATACTTGGCCAATAAAAGTGATTAAATTCAAATTAGTCCTTTAATGATGACCTAACAAGTCAACAAACCTTTTTGAGATAGGAAGCATTTACATTGTCACACATACAAAAAACTGAAGAAAACTCTTCCCACAATGCAGTGGGAGTTTGTTTAAAACATAACACATACTTACTGTTGCCTTTTTAATCCAAAATACTCCCATATCCATCCATGACTTGTTTCTAATGGGAGAGTTTACCTGTCTGTGTTATTTTTCTTGGCTGCTACAGGCGTGGAGTTCGTGTTGACTGAATGGATCAAACACTTCAGTAGATTATGCATTAAAATTCTCACGTTTCGTGTGAATTCCCAGTTTTAGAATGCTAGCTGCACTGCCTGCTGCTTGTTGTCCAGTTTGAACAGAACAACACTTCACCAGAATTGTGTACATATGTAGCTGGCTGTCAAAATAAAAGCACACAAAACATCGATGTTTACATTTTGCATCGATGTCATCAGATTGGAGGGCATTTGATCGACGGATTGTTACACCCCTATTACAGATATCCCTACGATACTAAAGCATCAATCATTATTGGTGAATCATTCAGTAAACAGTTTGCCCTTGTGTTGGTTATATACTTTATTTTTTTTGGCAGTTTGACGGGGCAGAGGTGAGGGTCCATGAGTCTGACCAACCAGTTGAAAGTTACTGTCACCAAGAGACACACCCTACATATACTTTGTCCTTCTCTTGACTTTGCATGTGGTGCCACAATGTTGTTCACATTAGTCATTTTAGTTAAGCTGTTGGATGACTGTCATGACATTTGGTTCAAATATTAATTCTGCCCAGAGTGTGAATCCTGATGACGTTCTTGATCTTGACACAAAGTTGGTATAGACATTTGTTGCTCCCAGACCATAAATCATAATGATTTTTGTGATCCTGTGATCTTCTAGCGCCACCATAAACCTGACATTTGTGAGTGAAAGGTCTCAACAACTGTTAGATTGATTGTCATGAAATGATGTTTAGACATGTTCTACTCAGGAGGAATTTGGCAATTTCTCCATGTGTTCTACAACCATTATTGGGTCCAGTTGTTTTATAAAAAGCAAAAACTGGAGTGCATCTGGAGACATTTTTTAGAAATCATTCTGTATAGGAACAGGTACTCTTTAGAGTCAAGTGGCAAGGTGACTGCATGCAAGGGAAAAAAATGCATTGTGACTTTTGCTTAGAAATTGTCCAATCCTTTTGTTTATGAGCAAATAGCAGCTAAGTTGTGATATTCCCATCAGCCTGTACTTTGTTTTAGGACAAACATGCTAACATGCTAAATTAAGATGAGCATGGAAAAAATTATATCAGAATTGTCATGGTTAGCATGTTTACATTTGCATTTTTCTCAAACCACACACTAGCTGATTCTAGTCTCACCTCTTTCATCTTGTCCTTGGATGATTGCATGGAAAGTATTTCATGTAAAAATGTTTACTTTGAAAGAGTAAGTTAGTGTGCAAGTTAGATTTAAAACATATATAAAAAGGTACTGTACCAATACACATAACATGCCATACCTCTATGAGTGGGTGCCAGTGTGCTATGGGTTTCCGTGGATACATCAGCATTTCATTCCAGTGATCTCGCCCCAGACTCTTGGCCTCAATACCCACCCTGCACACCCCAATCACTTCATTATGTCCAACGCTGCAAAACAGTAAAGAACAGCATATCGTGACTCCAAAATTTTGCATCATTTAATGTACTGTGGATGAAACTAATATATGTAGATAACTTTCTAACCGATCATAGTCCATGACGGCTATGAGAAGGCTGATCTGGTCAATGTTTTCAGGAGGAACATCAAACACAATGGCTTCATTGTACACTGGGTTCAGTGTGTTACGCTTGGTTGATGTCTTCCTCTTCTTCAGCCTTCGGCCTTCACACATCAGAGACACTTTCACATATGGATCTGTAACATGATAATTTCAATAAGGTTGCCAGAATGTATTCACATGGAGAGCCATTTAACAAAAAATAGAGTGCTTGAACACTTTACACGTACATTTGAGCCATGCCTCTCATTGGAAAGACTACATTGTCATTCAGCACCCACCTGAGGCTCCAGTGATGTCCATGGCTTTGAGATTTCTGGCTTTGATGATAGTGATGGTAAGTCTGCCAGCCGTGGGAAGATAGCACAATGAAAACATCAGCTCTCCCAGGTCCACATTGTCCTGAAAATCAAGATGTTATACTTTAAAAGTAGTACTGTTCATTGTTTCCTTATATTGACAATTTAATAAACTTATTTGTCCCAACTCTCCTCTTTTATGATGTCTAATCTGGTGCAATAAACACCAAAAAGATTGAAAGCAAGGTTAAACATGGGTATTGTTGTCTTGACAACTGGTCACATGAATGTAGAAAATTATTTCTCACATTTTAAACAAGCATATAGTTTTTTTTCAAATTTATATGACAAAAGTATTTTTTTGTCTTTTGTGTAGTTCAACCTGCCTATTGAACTGCCTAGGTGTGTCTTTAATGTCTACAAGGGGTTTATACAGTAGTTTCAGTACTGTGGTTGGCCACTAGGGAAGTCTGGCAACAAGCTGGAGTGATAGCACCATACCTACGTCTCCTAATGCATCCCATCCATGTTTGCTAGCTACCGGTCTTCTTTCTCCCTGTCATTTGCGGGCACATTGCTACATTTCTTTGTGCATTACCATGAATTAGTTAAATAGCCTGAAACTGGTGGCATGCATGTGCATGTTGGCTCATTTACACAAGCTATCAGGTACCAAACTGCAAAAGCATGCTGAAAATAACTTTAGAGAAGGGTTAATTATACATAGGTTGGCTTAGTTAAGGTGAAGTAAGAGGTAAGTCAAACCTCAGCAAATCGATGGGTAGATTTAACAGAAGGCACATTATAATATCTGAAAAGAATGACACAAGCCTTTGCACCTCAGATGTGGATCATGCCTGTGAAAAAAACAGCATGGATATCTTTCTTATTACATCTGCATCGTGTAGCAGTGTCACAGCTCACAATTAATCAGTGTGTTTCTTGTTACAGGAATGTTAAGGCCTGAGAATTTAAATGATCTGCTACCTAGTTTTCTCAGTATCTGCATTCACTTGGAGTCTGTCATCATGTTTAGACAATCAGACATTATCCCTGCTTTCACATCTGATCCACATTCATGCATATGCCAAGCTCGCTTCCCAATTAACACGTTAAAAATAACGTGTGATGGTGTGAGAGTGAGTGGCGCATTTATGAGACACAAGGACTCACAAGGTTTCTTGCAGCGGAAACTCTGATCTCTAGTTGTGTGTTTTCTCCCACACATTGAGCTAACACAGAGCTCTCTGTTACAAAATCTTAAATAAAAGGTGAAAAGAGCAATATTTGCAAAAAAAAAAAAAAAGTTGGATATTTGATCACAACAAGGGATTTTAAATGGAAATAATAGCTGGCAGACATGGTTTCAGCTGTTTCTGCATTTCCAAATACAAATCATTTAATTCTGTTACAGTGCTTATAGCATAACAAACTCTTTTTATGCTGTAAATTCAGCTGCTTTATGTTTCACTGGACACAGTAGAAAAAGCAGGTTAACACAACTTTTTTGTGTCCTCTTCAATCATAGACAGGATGTTAATGATTTTATATTTAGTCATTTATCAGACTTGACCAATTGGATACAGAGCCTTGTTAAAGGTCAGATGTAGTGGTTTTACTGGAAAATCATTGTAGAATTGTTCAATCTCATGCTGATTAAGATTAATTGGATTCAGGCTGCACAGGCAACACACATACTGTACATACACATGCATGTAGACATTATGATGCTACTGCTCGGGCTTTTCTGCTCAAGATCTCTGAAAATCAAATTGAACAAAATGAATTAGTTCATCACGGATGTCAGCATCTACATGCTTGCAAGCATATAAGCATGCAAACACTAATTCTTATGTATGCACAGACATACACAAACAGTGTTGTCCAAGATGCATGACATTCTGCGTGATGTTCTGTGCCTGTGTGCTGCAGGCAGAATCCACCTCCGACACTGCATTGTTGCTTTGAGCCTCGGCTGTTAATGACATACAGCTTATGATGTCTGCAAGGGGTCACTTTCATATGAATTTTGGCACAAGAACATGAATGCATGCAATGACATACACACTCAGGCAGGTATATACTATACATACACGGACTGTGAACTGACAAACCCTTCAGCTCTCCACAGAAAATGTGATTATCTCGCTCCCATTACACACACAGTCATGCAGCACATCTTAGCTTTCAGACTATAGACTGCTGGTCACTACTTTTATGAGCACTCAAATCAAGCCTGTGGTCAGGATTATGGTGAAATTAGATCGGTGCTCTAAATGGTCTCAATAAAGGAGAAAGAGAATGTGGGCAGTCCGTCTTCTCCAAATCTAAAACTAGCACCTTGCCTCCCTCAGGAGCAACAAGGCTTTATCCACAAGTTTTTCTCTTGCCGGATCTAATAATTACAGGCTCAGTCTGCAGCAATGACGTTCTTTATTTAAAGAAATTATACAAAGGCAAATGTGTAATTAAAAGGGTATTCCAGCAATTTAATACTGTACAAAGAGTCCTATTTAGAAAAAGTTGTTGAAACAGCAGAAGCTGAGGTGTCCTGACTACTAGTCATGTGTCTCCTATATTTCCCACAATGTACCTAAAACTTGTTTCATTAGACTTTTTGCCTAGAAGAAACATGTCTTGTGAAGCTCTAGTGCTCAGACCCACAAATGTGTTTTTCTTTTTTAATCAACTCGTTTATCCTATTGGACAGGCTTGCATGTTCCTGTTTGAACTCCTTCTCTTTCTTGGATATGGACAGTTGTTTACTCCCTTGATCTGATCAGTTGTCTGCTCCCTGTTTCAACTGTTTGCCATCATTTTCCTGTCCAGTAATAAACTGTTTCTTTGACTGAAATTATACAGGTCTGTTTCTTACATCATATCTATGTTAACCCACTTGTTATGTCTGCTCGGACACAGAGGTCGACAAAAAATGACGGACCCATGTAGCTGACTTCAGTGCAAGTAGTGCTCAATTTATTTACAGTGATATCAGACAAGCAAGTGCATAACCAGACGGAGGGTGTAGAAAACGGGACCGGGTGTCGAGCAGCAGGTATGGCAAAAGTACAGTCAGTGGTGCGGTGATTGTGGGATGGCCGGGCTGCAGACGCTGGGGTTCACTCCTGGACTGGTCGGGGATGATGGTTGCTGAGGAGACAGAGTTAATGAAGCAGTTAAGAGAAGACTGTGCATCGACCTGCGTGGTGGAGATGGAACTGAGCAGAGGAGGTCTGTGGTCCGGTGGAGTGACTCGAGGAGGAGGAAACAACAAACGTAGAAGAACACCGCTCGGGCGAAAGGACGTGAGTGAAGGTAACAGAGGTCTATATAAAACAATCAAAACAACGGGAATTTACGGGCCTGAGAAAGCTAGAAAGAACTGGCAGGGGAATGGACAGTGAGCGGAGAATAAATAGGGAGAAAGTAATCGGGTGCAGCTGGTGATCTGGGGACGAGAAGCAGGTGTGTCAGATAACGTAATCAGGGTAAGGGAATAAAAACAGAGTGAGGGAAGTGAGAGAGGCAGGCGCAGCCGGGCAAACCTGACACCACTTGTGTCTTCTGAATTACCATTCAATTCAAATCTACCTTTGTTCCTCGATTTACCTGCTTAGTGCTCAAATATCAGGGTTTTTACTCATCTGTGCTCTCTGAAGTATCTACTATAATATTAGTAGGTATCATTTATCTATGATCAATTGCATACAGTTACAGGTGACATTTCCTATTGTTTACCCCTACCATCGTTTTCAAGTACTTCCTTGCTTCAAGTGCATATTTGACTTAACCTTCAAACCAGAGTTACAAGGAGTAGCAGTTGAAAGCTTCCCCTGTGAAAAGGGGACAGTCCTTCAAGACCTCTGTGCACATTGGCAGTTATTGATGTGTGTAGCATCGACTGCAGATAACTTTAGTTTTGTTAGCCCCATATCGCCCAGTTTTGAATCTGCCACTGAAAACCCCCACTTTACCCCTACAAAAAGATGACATGACACCCCTACAACTACACGAGAATGCACAAAACAGAGGGGTAGAGCTAAGCAGTAGGGTCAAGGGGTGAATTTGGGTTGGGCCTTAATGTTGTAAACACTCAAGCCCACTGCTGAGAAGCATCTACAACATGCTTTAACTGGTGTCAAGCTGAACCTCATTAAATATTTTCAGCTTGTTAAAGGAAATTGTTGACGATTTGATTTGGGAAACATGCTTATTTATTTTGTCACCCATTGTTAGATAATATCACTTTCAGGTCTGTGCACTAAATATGAGGCTACATCCAACAGGTAGTAAGCTACAGTACCATAAAGAGACTGGTTTTCTTTAAAGTTAAGAGTTAGAACCTGGAACCTGGGGAGACTGGCACAGAATGTGAGAGAAGCTAATCCTGAATTTGACTGGCATTTCGAGAAAATGCATGACATGTTCAAATTCACCCATTTTCCATTATCTATACTGCTTGTTCCTGAATAGGGTCGTGGGGGGGCTGGAGCCAATCCCAGCTGACATTGAGTGAGAGGCTGGGTCCACCCTGGACAGGTCACCAGTCTATCACAGGGATGACATGTAAACAAACAACCACACACACTCACGCTCACTCCTACGGGCAATTTAGAGTCACCAGAGCAGTAGAGACTGCAATTTTTGCCCATTCTTCTTTGCAAAGTAGCTCCAGTTCAGTCAGATTGGATGGAGAGCATCTGGGAAGAGCAGTTTTCAAGTCTTGCCACAGATTCTCAGTAGGATTTAGGTCTGAACTTTGCCTGGGCCATTCTAACACATGAATATGCTTTGATCTAAACCATTCCATTGTAGCTCTAGCTGTATGTTTACAGTCATTGTCCTGCTGGAAGGTGAACCTCTGCCCCAGTCCCAAGTCTGTCAACTTCTAACAGGTTTTCTTCCAGGATTGCCCAGTATTTAGCTCCATCCATCTTCCCATCAACTCTGACCAGCTTCCCTGTCCCTGCTGAAGAAAAGCATCCCCACTACATGATGCTGCTACCACCATGTTTCATGATGGGGATGGTGTGTTCAGGTTGATGGTGCAGTGTTAGGTTTCTGCCACACATAGCGTTTTGCATGTAGACCAAAAAGTTCAAT